AAATTAAGGCAGATGGCTTGCATTCCCTTATAACAAAGAGGAGGTAGAAGCCTCGCAAAAGACAGATAAGAAATATACAATTACTGAAAACAGGCAAGAGATTAATCAAACGTTTAAGAAAAAAACTAAACAATAAAAGAACCAATGAGTAGCTAAGCTCACACAAGAGGGTTGACAACATTACTGAAATAGTGTATTGAACAATGTAATTTTAATAAAAACTCCTCAATTTAAACACACTCCTTGATTTAGAAAGATCTAGAAACAGAAAAATGCAAGTCCTATTGGGAGAAAAGCCCAATAAATATCTTACAATTCCAAGCAATCGTGAGAAATGTGAAATTCCTAAAGAGTTGGCATGTTCCTAATGAACAGAGGCATCACATACAACAAAATATTTAGCCGTTAGTCTAAACAAGTGAAATCAGCCTGACGTGAAGAGATGATGAGGCGTAATAACAAAAAAGATTCAACGGGACTCTGACCCACTTTAAACAATCTCACACTGGCTACTTTTTAATGAATTTTTTGAAACTCTATATTTTCAGGCCTTTATAATAAAGATTGTGCTGAAATTCGTATCCACAGCCTACAGTTGTGTTAAGAATCAATGCACTTAAACTATATTTTATTTATTAGGTTTCTTGCACTTCATACACTCAACAGCCCTGAGCCTTTAAAAAAAAAAATTCTGAATGCAGAATGTATGGTTACAAAATACTGCACATCCATAGTCTCATTAGAAATAAGGGGCCCTTCATATTTGATGCATATAGATATAAAAATGTTCTTTGTAAAATGCGTTTGAGAGAAAATCCAGATCTGAAATTAATACTGCAAAAAAAAAAAAAAAAAAGAGCAGTCAGTTTGAAATACATTTGTTATAGAATAGTATTTTTCCTTTTGCAGTCCTAACCAAAAGCATTTGTGTAGCAACACTACATGTTAGACTATTTTAAAATGAAGTGGCTGTGTAGTTAGAACGGCTTCGGTCACCCCTCCACATTTGCAGGTGGGTTGGCTGATTTGTGGAAAGGCGTTTCCTTGTAAATAAACCAGCAGTTGCCTCCCCACAAGATGAGGTTAAGAAAACCAAATACCTGCCGAAAAATAAAACAGAAGAAGTCAAAACTGTACATGGGTCATTTTAAAAAAAGCAAGGGTAATTATCCATTTAAGGCTTATTACTTAAAATAAATTGCACAAAGCTTACCACAGAGGCATTCAATCGACCCATGGAAGGCAGAGCCCCCGTTGTGCACTTGTGCACGCCACCTTTGCAAACGTCAAAAAGAGTCAGCAAGAATGTAGGATCGGTAGCCCTCTTGACATCAGACAAACCTTTACCCCAAGCAGAAGCTGATACCAACCACAGGAAGGCGAACACCGCAGTCAACACCAGGTCCTTATTGAGCAGCAAAAAATACATGTCACTACAAAACCCACCAAGAGACCCAACTGAAATGTTTTCAGCAGAGAACAGAGCAGTCTAGTGTCTGTTAGCTGCTTGGAAACCACACCCTCCCCAGTTTTTCATTTACATGTCTCTGTTAAATCCTCAAACTTGAGAGTGGACATCTCGTTATCTCTGCTCTCCTGCATTACTAAAGTGAATAACTACAAATCATAAAATATGTCCTTACTTCAAATTTGCTTTAAATTGGTCGCTTTGTAATGTCATCTTGACCTGTGAGCTGTTTGGAGGACGACCTAGCTAAGCCAAAACAACAGAGAAATAGAGTGAATCCAGTCAAACCTACCAGGATCGGGCCCCGACTAGGTTCCCTGTACAAGTGGTTGTAACACAAATAGATGATTAGCGTGGCGGTGCAGTAGAGGAACGCAAACACACCGATACAGACATAAAACTGCGCAGAGGATGAGTGGTCTCCAGTCAGAAAGTAATTATTGGATGTTCCATTACAGTTAGGGACAGCGTAGGGATGATCCATCAACCTGTGTACACACAGAGAACGCATTAGAAATTATGACAATCGTTGAAGAAAACACACTTTCCGGTAAACTGGAATCTGAGGTGTGGCACTGTTTGTTTTGGCACCTGAATGGGTAGTTAAAGTTTGCTGTTATTTCTTTATTGTCTGTTCCGTTGCATTTGACATTGATGCTGGATGAGCCGCTGTAACCTCCGGTTGTAGCAAAGGCAAATATGGAGAAGACCTACACACACACACACACACACACACACACACATATATATAAGATAAAGGGATACAAATTAGGTGCTCAGGATAGAGTGCTGAACATAACTGCCACACAAATGTACCCACACTTCCTTCCAGATTTTATGCAATTAACTTTTTTTTTGGTTTGGTTTTGTGTAAGACAGGAAGTCTTGCACAAAACTATCAGGGTGACAGCTGCACAGAGTAGCAAAATCCGGTCTTAAAGTCATGCAATGCTGCCAGAATGCTTTATCCAGTAGCTGAAAGCGCAGAAACGAATACCAACCTGCACATATGAAATAAAATTTGGTTTTATGCGGCCACGCATGTTAATCGGACCCTCTGGCGTGCAGAACACTGAACATCCTGCCCGCTACACATTATTTTTGGTTTGAGCCGCATAAAGGCCCATTATAGGAAGGCATCTTGACTCGAGTGCAACTGCATGCCGTATTTATAACAGTGCTACAGCTCAAATGATGAATTGGATGGCTTATCTGGGCGTAGCAGTGGGTCACAAGACAAAATAACACAATCAAGTTATGAAGTAGTTTTGCAGCCAAGGATCGGCTGCCCACGCAAAGCACACCCCGCCATACAGGCCATATGGTAAAAAGTAAAAGGAAAGAAAGCAAAAAAAGGAAAGTGAGGAAATAACTTACCCATTCTAGCAAACGGATGAATGCCAAAGGCTCTTTAAGAGGTCCAAAGTCAAGACTGAATCCCGAAGTCATCACTTTCTAATCGAAAATAAAGACACAGCGTGAGAAAGACGGAGTTGTACTGCCGAGGAGGGTCGGGCGTAAATAGGAGTGTTTGCTCAAAAGTGTCCATTCATCAGATATACGTCATTAACAGCTAAACTCTTCCTGTAGCGCGTTTACCTGCGCAACGGATTCCATTGTTTCTCCAGACCCAAAATCAGAGTTTAGGAGCGCTTATGAATCGCCGATCCTGGTCTCTTTGCAGCTGTGTCGAAGATCCTTAGTCTTGTCAAAACTTTTCCAACAACTTCGCTGACTTGGAGCTGACAACACGTGATCACCGACGAAGGGGGGCGCTGCTTAACAGCAGGGCTCAAAGTGGGGGAAATGCCATCCGGTAGCTCCTGTTTGCTTTTCGCCACTAGGCGTGCATCTTTGTAGGTTA